TTCCCCTCCTCCCCCTCCCTCCCCCGCCCATGTGAGATCGCCGCCGCCGCTGGTGCGATGGCGCGGGTCGCCCGCCAGCTCCGCCAGCCGGCCCGCCCATCTCGCGCGTGATGGTAAGTCTAACGAGCGTGGGCGTGGGCACTCCGACGGCGTCCGCCCACCACCTGCTGCTCTTCCTGAACGCGTCCCAGGCCGCCGCCCACCTCCTGCAGCTCCCCGAGGCCACCTCCACGCCCGCAGCGGCCGCCCACGCCCCGATGGTCGCCCATGACCCCGCCGTGACGCTAGCGGACCCCAGCAACGCGACGCGGGCGGGCGGGCAGCTGGTGGAGGCGGGGCAGGGCGGGGCCGCCCACGGCGTGGTGGCCAGCGTGCTGCTGGTGCTGGTGCTCAACCTGATCATCGTGGGCACCGTGGTGGGCAACCTGCTGGTGTGCGTGGCCGTGTGCCTGGTGCGCAAGCTGCGCCGCCCCTACAACTACCTGCTGGTGAGCCTGGCCGTGTCCGACCTGTGCGTGGCGCTGCTGGTGATGCCCATGGCCATGCTGAACGAGGTGCTGGGCACGTGGCAGTTCGGGCGGCTGGCGTGCGACGTGTGGGTGTCCTTCGACGTGCTCTCGTGCACGGCCAGCATCCTCAACCTGTGCATGATCAGCGTGGACCGCTACCTGGCCATCACCAAGCCCCTGGAGTACGGCGTGAAGCGGACGCCGCGCCGCATGGTGGCCTACATCGCCTTCGTGTGGCTGGGCGCCGCCTTCGTCAGCGTGCCGCCCGTGCTCATCCTGGGCAACGAGCACGTGGAGGGCGAGAACTGCGTCGTGTGCCAGAACTTCTGGTACCAGATCTACGCCACCTTCGGCTCCTTCTACATCCCGCTCACCGTCATGGTCATCGTCTACTACAAGATCTTCTGCGCCGCCAAGAGGATCGTCAACGAGGAGCGGAAGGCGCAGGCGCACCTCCGCTCCGTCGAGGAGGCCGAGGCGGACGCGCGCGCGCCGCAGGACACGCGCTCCTACACGCAGCTCAGGCCCTTCTCCAGGTAGGTGGGGGCGGGGTGAGGGGGGTTGCAGAGTACCACGAGGGCGCTGGGGACTGAGCGCCCGCACACTCGCAAACACACACACACACACACCAC